TTACAGAACTGTTTGTCGGTAGGGTACCGGGAGAGTACCGAACGTTCTGTAGAATCTCTGTATGTACTGGGTCTCACAGAACTCCTCTGTAAAATCTCTGTATGTACTGGGGTCTCACAGAACTTTTCGATAGGGTACTGGGAGANTTTTCGGTAGGGTACTGGGAGAGTTACAGAACTGTTTGTCGGTAGGGTACCGGGAGAGTACCGAACGTTCTGTAGAATCTCTGTATGTACTGGGTCTCACAGAACTCCTCTGTAAAATCTCTGTATGTACTGGGGTCTCACAGAACTTTTCGATAGGGTACTGGGAGAAATACAGAACGTTCTGTGAAATCTATGTAGGGTACTGGGCGAGTACCGAANCTGGGGTCTCACAGAACTTTTCGGTAGGGTACTGGGAGAATACAGAACGTTCTGTGAAATCTCTGTAGGGTACTGGGCGAGTACCGAATGTTCTGTGAAATATCTGTAGGGTACTGGGAGAGTACCGAACAGTCTGGAAAATCTCGGTAGATACTGGGGAGAGTACCGAACTATCTGTGAAATATCTGTAGGTTACTGGGGTCTGACAGATCTTCTTCGTAGTGATCTGTCGGTACTTACAGAGGGAAAATACCGCCGGTACCGATCTGTGAGTACCCTACAGAACGGACCTGTGCAGAAATTGACCTCTTCCCGGTGCACCAGCAACCAATATCGGTCATACCAGAGGGTCCTAATTCCAGCGGAAGTTGTACCTGATGGATGTTCCTTCAGAAATGGGTACAACGGTTTTTCGGCCAATCAGCTGACAGCCTGGGCGCGCAAGTGTGTTGATTACTAATTGTACCCTAAAGTGGTGATAAAGTACCCGAGTATACCCGTTTCTGGTTATTGGTCTTGTATTATTATTGGGACTCATCTGATTCTGCGATGCCCCCATCAGTGCAGTTCAACCCTCTCGCCCACCCCGCTAAAGTCACTACCTTTCCCTTCTCAACACGTCGAGGTGTTCGAGAAGAAAGGAATAAACCTACCATCGCCGGCTCAAACGCGTTGAGGTCGCTTGGGACGACGCTTACAGCCGATCTACCTTTGAACAGGTCGAGGTGCCCAACCGGATAAAAAAGTCAAACCCAGTGAAACACCAACTTTTTTCCGCAGCAATCCCCAAAAGATGGTGCTCACGACCGCTCCCGTGAAGGTCAAGATCACCAAGGACGATGAGACTTCCGGTAAGCCGGAGAGCCTCCTCGAGGCCAGCCCTTCATTGGGCGCACGGGTGTTTGTTGTCGCTAGTCGTTATCCCCTGTTAGCACGCAGGCAACGCCTAGTGTCCAACTTGAAGTTGTCCGAGCCTGAAATTCGAACTGTGCGCGTACCAGAGAGAGCGGAGAAAAAGGGGAGAGCTTTGACGAGCGGGCTTAGCGGCAGCAGGGTAGCGGTTAGCTCTCCCAACCCCGCCGTCTCCAACAACTCTCGTGACCCAAAAGCGCATTCTCTCATTTGGAACTTACTTCTGTCTTTGTTTCTCCAGAGCTGCGACGGCTGGCGTTCGGCTACGACGATAGCTTCCAGCAGGCGTCTTCTGGAGGTCTCTTCGACGAGCAGAGGCAGGGCTACCACCTCTCCCTGTGCAAGTTCCTGCTGCGCTCGCTTGGCGGACTCTACCCCAACCTACCCGTCGGGAAGTTTTCCGAGCTTGCGGTCTTCACCGTGAAGGACGAGGCAAGCTGCTCGCGAAATTTATGTTTTTTTTCGAGCAAGCAATGGTGTTGTAGATACACCAAGCGGACCTTTTGCCCCTGCTTTCGCCCACGCTCTACACGCGTATTCTTGAAGTGGTGTGTTGGAGCACACACTCGCAATCGACCCCACCTATGGCACCCAGGTGTGCGCTTTACCTTGGAAACACGTGGTTCCCGTGCGCGAGCCGTACGGCAGTTATCCGTGTGTGGTTTGCCCTTTTGCGAGGATCACGAGCATTGCCGGTACAGCAGTATTCGAGAGAACGAGACGTCTGAAGAACGCGAATCGAAAACACCCGTGTCCCGTAGAGCCAGTTCCCACTTTTTCGGAGGTGCCGCGACACGCTTCCACACAGACACCAGGCATGGTAGTGCTGCAAGCACACGTGCGGGAGCAGCTTGGTTACTGTGGCATGGCGCGAAGACGAACGTACCTACGCCTGTGTTCGAAAAACATTTGGGTTGACCTCGACTACTATTGTGATGCATATTTTGCTTGAATTCCGCCCGGAGCCAGCAGGAATCAGCAAGCGGTAGGGCCCGTTCTTTCGAAATCTTTAGTGCAAAGTTGTTTTCACGTGTTTGCGACTCCCTCTACGCAGACCATTCGCAACGCCCTACCGCCTTTCCCTTGCCAAGCAACCTGTGGTGGCTGCGAATTGTGCTTCCTTCTATGCAATCTTTGAAGCCGAATCGAAAGGGATTGATTGTGTCAGTGCTTAAATAGGACTCAAATTCGTCGTGTCGTTTGTACACCTGCTGTAGTTTTACAGGCCCCACGTGGACATCGTATGAAACGTTCATGACAAGAGTAGCGGATGGACCACCTTATTTCAAGGATTACCTTCTCTCGAAATCCCAAGTCTTCTTGACATGACACGTGTGGACTCGCCTCCTCCAATGCATGGTCGTCTCTCCGCAAGAATGAAATGGAGACAGCTGTAGGTTAACTCGTCGCCTTGGCAAGCTGCTGTCAGCGGTTTGGCTTATGCGGCAGTATACAGCAGTATTGGTTGGTGTTGCAGCCTGTTTGACGGTACCCTCGTTGGGAACCCGGATGACTCACGTGCTGCAGTCGTACGTATGCATACCAGACGGGTTATTTTTAAAGTATGTTTTCTTTTCTTTCGACCAAAACACATCAAATGAATGCCTTCCACAGATATAGGCCTCCCGCTACTGGACGGGATACACCATTACCTTCGTTCTTTCGATGTGTTATTTCCTGTCGTTGCCTGAAATTTATCCTGTACGTAACCAGGCATACATTGATGCCTGCATCGGCGAGTGACCTCCGTCACTTGAAAAAAGTTGGGATGGGTTAGCAAAAAACATGAACGTATTCATTTTTATTTCCTCAATTTTCATCGTTTTGCCTCGTTTGTCTGACTGTGTGGTCGATTCTCTTGCTGCTGCTGCTGCTGCTGCTGCTGCTGCTGCCCCCGACGAATCCCCCTTCTTGCCCGCCCTTCCCAGGATGGCGATATGGTCCGCTTCGACTCCGAGGAAGAGTTCGTTGCGGCCATGAGCTACAAGTCGTGGGAGGGCTGCCTCCGCGTGGAGGTGACAGCCCTCAAGCCTTCCCCTCGCCCCCCCGCCGCCGACCCTGAACCCGCTTCCGTCGCAGACGCCGCCGCCGCCGCCAGCAGCGACGAGCTGGCCGCGATCGCCAGCAGCGACCCCACGCCGATGTCGGAAACCGCCAGCGTCATGTCCTTCGTCAGCAACATGTCTGGCTCGTCTAGCGCGTCGGCCGCAAGCTCGTCGTCTTCTTCGAGCTCGTCTTCTTCTTCGAGTTCGGCTTCTTCTTCGAGCTCGGCGTCAGTGGGATCGGAGGATGCGCCGCCGGTTGCGCGCTCCCTGGCCGCTCCCGTCCCCGCCCTGGCTCCTCCGGTGGACACGGCAGCTGCTGTCGAGGCCCACGACGATGACGAAGAGGCCATGATGGCTGCGGCGGTGGCGGCGTCGATTGCCGAGATCGCGGAGGATTCATCTGCTTCCACAGACGACAACACCAACACCAACAACAACAACAACAACGATACCGAGCAGCAGGTCGGGTCTTCTTTGCCCCCTGCCGCTCCTGCCGGCTTCGGAGGCCCGGGAACTCCCGCGAGAGCGTTTCTGACGCAGGTGCTTCCCGGCCTGGCGGACGTGCTGGCCCGGTCCATATACGCCGCTAATCGGGGATCTGACGGAGTCCCCAACACCTCCCCGGCGTCTGCCAGCGAAGGTGGAGACTCGGCCGCCGAGAAGGGCATCGCTGTTGCTGCTGCGGCTGCGGCTGCGGCTGCTGCGGTGGCCGCCAACGCTGCCGCAACATCTGCCGCCGCCGCCGCCGCCGCCCCCGAGGCGACGACGGCTACGGCTCAGCCCAGCACGGAGGCGGCGCAGGTGGGCGCGGAGCCGGCCGCCGCTGGCGCAGCCCCTTCCACCCCCGAAGTCCCTCGCACGGTTCAGCCTCCCTCTGCTCCCACGCCGCCACCTCCTGCTGCTACCGCCGACGACGAGGACACGCCGCCGGTGGTTCACCACGGCGTAAAGTGCGACGCCTGTGACGTCTGCCCGATCATCGGTACGCGGTACAAGTGCGCCGTCCGGGCGGACTTCGACCTGTGCGAGGAGTGCGAGAGGGCTCCCGTGGGCCAGGGCTCCCCTTTCCCCTTCCTCAAGATCAGGACGCCCACCCAAGCCCCCGCGGCCATCGTCTGCCTCCTCAAGCACGACCAGCCCGGCACCGCTCAGGAGGCCGCTGCCGCAGCGGCGGCGGCCGCGGGGGCGGCCGGCGGTCCTGGCGACACCCCCGGAAGCAACAACGGCGGCCGGAGGACGTTCGCCCCCGGGCAAGGCTGGCGGTGCAGGTCTAATCCCCAGCACGGAGGCTGGGGGGAGGGACGCCGCAAGGGCCACCGCTGGATGAGGGACCTCGCGCGCCGCCAGCAGCAGCAGTTCGAGCGCGCCGCTTCCGGCATGGGCCCGGTCCCGCCCGGAGTAGAGGTTGTGCGCGGGAACGGCGGTGGTGTCGGGTGCAACAGGCAGCCGTGGTGTGGCCCCCGCATGCAGCGCCGCAGGGACGACGACCCTGCTACGCCGGCGCCCGCCGCCGCCGCCGCCGGGGTTGCTCCGAAAAAGGATGCCCTTGCCGCTCTCGCTGCCTCTTTAACCCAGCTGTTCCCCACGCCGCCGCCGGTGGGCTTCGCTGAGAAGAGCGATGCCGACAATGCGGCTGTGGCGGCTGACAGTGCTGCTGCTGCTGCTGCTGCCGCCGCCGCTGCTGACACTGCTGCTGCATCGGTGGAGGAACCGGCTGAGACGGCGACTGCTTCGGCTCCTGCTCGGGAGAAGGCCTCTTCGTCTCCCTCTCCTCCTCCCTCGGGGGAGTACCACGACATGCTCGCCGCGTCCATGCGTTCTCTCGCGTCGTCCATGACAGCTTCGTTCCCCTCGCCGGGGTCGGGCTCCTCGGCCCAGGAGGGTGGAGCCACCGCCGGCAAACCCTCCCGCAACAGCGGGGACACGGGCGGCAATAAGTCTTCCGCCAAGCCCATGGCAAGGTATGATGTTGGAAGCCCATGGCAAGGTATGATGTTGGATAGCATAGTCTGCCAAATGGTATCTCTTCGTTGGTTGTGAATTCTTGATTTTCTGCGGGGGTCCGTGCTTGTTTCTTTTTTTTCTCGCGTTTGAACTGTCGGTCACGCCGCAAACCTAAGACAGTAGCGCCGCCGATACAGCCAGTCGCATGGCGGTGCTTCGTTGTCCAGCGAAACTAGCACCGTCCCCACTCGCCGCTCCCCCTGGCACCGAACACAAACGGACTGCCCTCGCGAAGGTTTTAATTTTTGCCCATGAAATCGAGAGGGGGCTTTCGTATCCCAATCCCTGACCCTAGTCCCCAACCCCACTCCCACACCCCTGGTATCCTGGCGAGAAGGCTATTTACTGATGTAAAACCCTGTTTGTCACGCCTCTGCTGCACGTGTTTCTGCCCTCTTCCACCACCAACAGGTTCGTGACGGATGTGTCCGTGGCAGACGGGAGCCCTCTTCCCCCCAACACCCGCTTCGTGAAGACGTGGTGCATGCGCAACGACGGCCCGGTCACGTTCCCCGCAGGCTGCAAGATCGTGCCCGTGGGGGGCGATCTCATGGCCGGGCCGGAGGACGGTGTGGCCATCGAACAGCGCGGCCCCGGCGAGGAATTCCATGTGAGTAACGTCACAAGTGCCACAGGACCGATCACCGGTCGCCGATGGCCAATCGGGGACCGCCCTCGGGAGAGTTTGAAGTCCATGAGAAGGAATAGAACAGGGAGGGGGAGGGGGCACGCAGACCTTAACGTGTTTTCCTAACCCAACTTCCCCAGTTGCATGCTTTGTCGCGTTTAGTTGGTCGAAAAGCCTCGCGAAGGCTATCGCCAAGGGGGGGCATCGTATCGTGTTTGTGTGTCCTCTTGTGTGTATGCCCTTTTTTATTTGCCGCTCGAGAGACTCTGATTGGTGCGATTGTTGTCGCTGTCGGCGTTAATTTCTAGAAGGTGTACATATCGTCGTAGAAAAGGCAACCTGGTCAAGATAATACCACAGTCGAAGAGGATGCCGTAGTTCAGAGTCTTTGCAGTGAGTGGGAAAAGAACCGAGGCATGTTTTGTTGTAAGACATATTTGGCTTTGCCAACGCGAGGGATTGTTTTTTGGTGCACACTCGAGGTAAGCGTTTTTGGTTGGTAATATTTGTACGTCTCCCTTTTGGTCCCGAGAACAGCATGTAGTGGGCGTCGGTTGGCGTCTAGGCGAACTACTGTAGCATCAGGCAAAAGATGATGCGTTTCCGTCGGTGATCGGGTGTGGGCAGCGCGTGAGCGTACGGTGACGGTTCGTCTTGTGCTTCCCCCCTTGATCACATGGGCAGGGGTCGGCCATGCAAAGGACTTGGTTCACGTTCTTCTTTTATTTTATTTTCTCGCAGACCACGAGAAGGGTAGACAACACACGTCCCCTCGGTGCCCGCCCCATGATTATTTCCGCGACGTATCAACTCCTGTGCAGGAAACTCACGTTCCCGCTCGTGTGTGCTCTCACTGTCTTCTTGGCTAGGTGAGCGTGCCCCTGACGACGCCGCCCCTGAGCGGTCGCTACATTGGGTACTGGCGCCTGCGCACGGCCGAGGGCCAGAAGTTCGGGCACCGCGTGTGGGCCGACGTCCTCGTGACCGGCGGGACCGCTGACCTCGTTGACGAGGGAACCGTGGTGAGAGATAGGGATGGAGAGAGGTCGGTGGCCGTCGCAGGGTTTGTCGTTGATGTAAACATGTTGGATGAATGTACTTCGCATGCAATTGGGGATGGTTGGGTCAGGGTTCAGGGTGTTTTGGTCTGCGTTCCCACTTGCTGTATGTTTTTTTTTTTCCTCGTAAAGTTTGTTTCTCGCGAAGGCGGTACAAGAGAGATGTATGTGTAGCGACAGAAGCGAGAGAGAGGACATACGCGCCCGCTGTATCAACCTTAACCGGTGTAAGTGGAAAGGGAAATGGATATGTGGATGTGTAGCGACAGGGCGACAGAAAGCGAGACACCGAAAACATTCGCTCGCTATCAACACAAACGGTGTTGACTAGTAAATGTTTGTTGGAATGCAGTAAGAAGCTGAGTGTACCGAGCGGTGCAAGAGATTTGATAAACGCTCTTCTAATGAGGTCGGGACTAGTGCATCGATATCTGATTGTTCTGTGGTTTTGCGAGTGCGAGGGTGTGCATGCGTAGGACGCTTTGATACTCGGTAGGCGAAATCGTCAACACCCTTGTTGAAACACGTCGAGTGAAATGGCGTTCGGTCTCAAGTGCTTGTTGTGCACCCTCGGACTCTTTTCTCTCTCACTCTACCAGATGTTGACGTGCCGCCCCCCCCCCCGTCCCCGTCCCTTTTCGTCCCTCCGGTTCTTCCCATCCCCTCCTCTGCTACATCGGACGAAAAAAAAACACTTGAAAACGCTTCGCATCGCAGGACGGCGACTGGGACCTCGTGAACATGCAAAGGCTGTCCAAGGCCGTCGAGGACACTGGGAAGGACGACACCCCCGCCGCCGCCACCGCCGTTGAACCCACTGCCCCCGACAACATCCCCACCACGGTGGAAACCCCTTCGTACGCTCCTGGCCAGGCCTGGGACCCGGAGTCAGCCAAGACCCGCGACACCGATACCGGTGCCGACAGGGGTTTCGAGGAGACCAAGTCTTCGGATGAGGCCACGGCGGGAGGGGATGGTGTGGGCTACGTGGCTGCTCCCGAGCAGCAGGCGGCGCCGGTAGTGGTGGCTCCCTCCGCGCCGTCCGTGCCCCCGACAATGGCCACCAAGTGGCATCGCGAGCTGTGCTCCCTCGCCGAGATGGGCTTCGAGAACACCCAGCGCAACGTGCAGCTGCTGGAGAAGCACGTGGTCAACAGCGGCAGCCCTGGCATGGAGAGGTGAGCTTTCTTTGTGAGCTTTTTTTTTATGTACTCTTGGTCACTTGATTGTTCTGGTCTCTTTGCTGATGATGAATTGACACTTGCCTTGTGTTCCGTTTCGTTTCAATGATTTGCTGATCATCATTGATGTTGGGTTGGTTGCCCTTGCTGTTCATGAGCTGTTTTTTTTCTTCATCTCTTCCTTTTGAAGGAATTGCTGTGATCGTGGTCGCTGGCTTCGTTACCCTTGCTCTCAGAGAACGAACGCATCTCGCTATCCTTTGCCGTTGCCGTGGATTCGATGCCAAGAACACCCTGGAAGAAAAGAAAGGCACTTTTGAGTGGTCGAAAATATGACCTTGCTTGATCAACCCCTTGCCCCTCCATCACAGCAGGTCTGGGCGTTCTTGTTTAAATTCCAATACTTTGCCCTGACTATTTGCGTCAAGTATGCCGCCCTTAAGAACCTCATCTAAACGTTTCAACAATTCTCTAATGGATTCGTGGCCTAACCATGTCTGCCAGAAGAAAAAAATAATGACGCTAGATGAACCTCCCTGACCGTCATGAAAATCCTCGTTCTCATTCTTTCTGTCGTGATTTTCAGGGTGCTGCACGAGCTGCTCTCCTGGCGCGAGGTCTCCATCCAGTAGACCCATCTCCCACCGCTGATACGGCGAAGAGCCTTGGTTTAGCGAAGCAACATACGACGGCCGACGAAAGGCCGTTCGTCCTGAAAGACGGACGGACAACATGAAAAAGAAACATTAACATGAAAAAGCGAATATGCGACAACATCAGCACGATGGCGTGGACGACTGCCGAACGATGACTGCCCGCCTGTCTGAACCTACACATGTACATCCACACCATTCGCGAAGGANTGGGGGGGGGGGGGGGTGTGTGTGTGTGGAGAGGGGTTGTTGCTGATGCGGAGGCGATGGTCACGTTTGCTGATGTCATGTCATTAGCAAAGAGACTGTTTCGTGTTCATACCGTGCAACCGAATGTCCTTTGTAGCGCTGGTGGGAGCCGAAAGAGCGCCAAACATGGCTGATCGGTTCGTAAACGGAGGGGG